GGACAGTGATGGGAGAAGTGGAGAGGAGGGGAGTGGGGAGCAAAATGCGCTGTCAATTGAAGATTCATCTCATGTAAACTCGGAGTCGGAACTGAGGGATGAAGGTACCAGCTATCTAAAATCTAAATCCCTCTTAGGTTGTGGTGGTAACCCTCAGAAACTGGTTTTTGAGAAGGTGGCAGGGAATCAGTGTGTGGAAGAAAGGGTAGAGAGTTTGTCTGTTGAAGGAAAAGGAGACGAGGAGCACAAATCAGAAGCGGCAGAGGGGACTTTTCAGGAGGAGGAGGTGGCAGTAGGGAGTCTCAAAGATCTGCAGCAAGCAATGGTGGGGTTTGATGGGGAGAAGGACATGGACGCGGATCCAAAGCAGCATGTTGCAGAGGACCGCATAGATGGGTTAGTTTGTGGTGATGAAGTAGTATCAGGAAACCTGCAAAGGTTGGAGTATGGGAGTCTGAGTGGTAATGAGGGGAAAGACTTGAGGGAAGGGTACGTGATGGAGAAGCACACAAAGGGAACTTTCAAGAGGTTGCCTCCAACCATAAAAGTTTCTGCGGAGACTGTGCTGGAGCATCCTGGTAGTAAAAGAGGCTTGGAAAGTAAGACGGAAGAAGATAAGGAGGAGCATAAGAAGGCGAGGACATTTCCAGGTGAGAGGACTGATGATTTCCCTAATTTACGGTGGGATTGCTCAGCCAACCCCGCCTGGAAAACTGAGGATTATAAACTGGAACAGCTGGGGACCGGGGAACGGCTCAGCAGTTCGTGGGCTTCTGGATGTCCAGAAGCGGGAGGCCCCGGATATCCTCTTTTTGTCAGAAACTAAACATGACAAGAAGTGGATGGAATGGTTTCGATGGAAGCTGGAGATGCGCAATATGGTCGCAAAAAGTAGCAAGGGAACCAGCGGTGGTTTAGCGATGTTCTGGAGAAGGGGTGTTGATGTCAATGTGAAGAGGATGTCGAAATATCATATAGATGTGCAGGTTAAGGAGGAGGATGGGTGGAAGAGGAGATATACGGGTATATGCGGAGAGTCAAGGAACGAGGATAAAGAGAGCAACACCTCCACCCAACAGTAGTGATTTTCTACTCATGGTGGCAGCAGGCTTGCGACAGTTTGTAAACTGGCGCAAAGCGTGGTTTCAACACCTTGGTAGTACTTGGGGCATGGACTATTTGGAGGACAAGGAATGATGTGGTGTTCAATGGGGTCGCTCCTAAGGTTGACAGGGCCCTCCTGCTCACGCGGGAGGAAGCTGAACTCTGGATGCTTTCAGGGGCAAAGGGGCTAAGTGCTGTGGTCGCTGCTAGGCTCCCTGTGTAGAGTTTGTAGTGACAGGCAGCCAGTTGGTCGTGTTGTTGTGTTTGTGGCATTTTGTTTGGGTGAGTGTGTGTGCGTGTGTGTTTGTATTGTTTGGCTTTTGTAGCCTAAATTCTCTTATCTTAATGCAATGATATATAGCTCTCCTGCATATTCGAGAAAAAAGGATAAAGAGAGCACATGAGAACTTTTACGGTTGCTGATAGAGCAAGACAATCTTTCATGGTTGTGCAGCGGAAGCTTTAATGGGATTTTGTTTAATTATGAGGAGGGAGGGCGAAGGGCGGGCCTGGTGCAAGCAGTAGAGTCTTACCGCCTGTGACCGGCAAGCAGATAGGAGGCAGAGCGGACGGACAAGCAGAGCGGACGGCAGATGTAGAGCAGAGCACGAGGAGGCAGAGCAGACGGCCAAGCAGAGCGGATGGCAGATGCAGAGCAGAGCACGAGGAGGCAGAGCGGACGGCAGATGCAGAGCAGAGCACGAGGAGGCAGCGCGGACGGCCAAGCGAAGATGCAGGCCGGCTCCGCGGCAGGGCCGGCCGGCCGGTGGACACGAGCAGAGTAGCAGCCCAGCGGAGGTCGAGGTCCGTCCACCGCCTTCTCTCTTTCTCTCCCCTCGCCTGCTGCAGCGATGTGTGATGATGCTGGAGCGGCTCCAAGGCAGGAGCATACGGCCAAGCGGAGATGCAGGCCGGCTCCGTGGTAGGGGAGGCCGCCTGGTGGACACGAGCAGAGTAGCAGCCCAGCGGAGGTTGAGGTCCGTCCGCCGCCTTCTCTCTTCCTCTCCCCTCGCCCGCACTCGCAGTGAATGACTCGCGCGGTCGATTTCCCACGCGAAGAGGCTACTTGGGCGCACGCGCGGTCGATTTCCCGCGCCTCTTGCTTTTCGCGCAGGCGCGCGGTCGATTTCCCGTGGGGCCACGCTCCTTTTGGCGCCCTTCCCCTACGGCCGGCATCTAGCGTCCGCGGCGCGGTTGTAGGCGTCCGCCCGACGCCATTCGCGCCTAGGCGACGCCTAATCCTATGAGGCGGACGCCATACACACTGAGGTCGTGGCGACCCCGACGCCCAGGCCTTGTCGCCTAGGCGACGCCTCAAAAACATTGGACCAAAGTACGGTTTGCTATGGGGATGAATGCATCAGGTGCTGTGATACCCCGGCCAGAAATTCTGAAGGAGAGAAGAAAACCGAGACCCACATCAGGTATGTCTCATAAAAACTTCTTTAAGCTCACCGATGGTGATACACATCAAGCATGTCTTGTAAACACATCTTACATGCTCATTAGTCATTATATAGTGTTTTTCAAGGTGCATTAATTCCCTAAAAAGGATGCAACTAAACTAAGTGGAACTTTTGTACCATAAAATTATAACAACCATATGGTAGCTATGTTTGATGTTTCCTTTTTATTTTTCCGTCCTGACGCTCGTAGTTTTTTCAGCATTGGAATGCTATACATATTGTGTATGTTAGACAACTGATTCACTGTAGATTCGTGTTTGAAACTGTGAATAATGTTTGTGAGATGGTATATAATTTGGGTTAGTATGGAATGAAAAAGGTGCTGATGTTCTGTTTTGGCCAATAGTTATGAATAAGATCCAAAGATGATATAGACTGCATAAATGTTAAGCACACATTTTGATATATACTATTCTGCCTTTTCTATATGGTCTATTTTTCTTGTTGCATGCAAGCAAATTCATTTTGTTCCTGTTTGAGCATTGCCTCAGCATGCCCATTTTGTTAGAGGATGTGTTCTGTTCTTGATCTGTCTGCCCCAATCATGCAGCTGGCCCAAAGGATACACCGATTGAGCTTGTACTGGAGAAAACCTACGATGATAAAGCTGGAATTGGCATGCCTGATCTATAGCTGCCACGTTGCTTGTGCTGAATTCAGTATTTGTTACCATAGTTAAGGTTTTAGGGGGTCAGTGATTATGTTAGCGGTATAATGTGCTTTCCTCATAATAATCATGTAACGATTGAAAAGAGTCAGTACTGGCATGCTATGTTGTCTTTCATATGTCCAAATGTTTTTTCTATAGAAATGCATTCTTGGACGAGATAAGAAATGGCAAGTATTCAAACTGCATTTTATTGTGCTTGATACAGTGGTTCTGGGGAAGGGTTGGTGATTTATCCTTGTAGGTTTTACTTGCCAACTAAGAAACGAGACATTGATGTCCATCACCAGTTGGCAATTTGTAAGATAGTTATTACTGTTCTCAAACTAGTGAATTTGACAACAAAAACAACGGTAATGCTCAGGGCCGGGCGTTCGTCCGATCAGACGCCTTCTTCCTGGGCCTGCGTGCTACTGGCCCAACAAGGTTGCCTCCTCTCTAGGTCTTCCCCATCTCTCACAAAAATACGCTATGTGGCCGTCCGACCGCTCCACTCTGCATTCGTCACCGCGGACATCTCCCCGTGCGCGCCCCCATCCTGCGCTCCCCACTCCTGCCCACCGCGCGCCCCACCCGCGCCGCTCGCTCCCACGTCGTCGGGCGCGCCGCCTGCCTCAGCTAGTGCTGGTGGTGCCGTCGTGCGCCTCAGGTCGGTCCCGCCCGAGCAGAGGGCACCCACGAGCGCGGCCCATGCCGGTGGTGCTTGCGCGCTATTGCTCACCGTCGGCTCCCACCTCGAGGCTGGAATCAACCGGCCCCGACCTCCCCTCCTCTATGTTGCAAATGTATGTTAGTGTTTCGAATGTTTCAGATGTATGTCGCAAGAGGTTCATATGTATGTTGTAAAAGTAGATCGAGATATTACATATGTTGCAAGTGTTTGAGAGGAATGTTGCAAGTGTTTCAGAGTCATATTGTAAGCGTTTGTTCAAAATGTTTCATCTGTTTTAGACGTATGCTGCAAGCGTTTTTTATCTAGATGTTGCACATGTTTCACACATATGTTGTAAGAGTATGTTTGAAATATTTCAGTTGTTTCAGTCTTATGTTGCAATAAGTGTTTCATGTAGAAAGTTGCAAGTATTTTATCTAGATGTTGCATATGTGTTCACACACGTGTTGCAAGTGTATGTTTTAAATGTTTCATCTACTTCAGACGTGGGACGGGGTGTGCTCGTCCTCATCCTGGCTCCCAGGTCACGCTCGCGCGGAGGGGGAGGAGGGGGTTAGGGGGAAGGAGCGATGAGCGCAGGTGGGGCATGGAGGACGGAGCGGGTTACGCGTGCGGGGCAGGACAAGGCGGACGGAGACGGGCGCGCGCGTGCAACAACGATACTGTGCAGCTGCAGGCGTGGGTGGGCGGGCTAGCGACTGAAGCCGGGGTCACGCGATGGCATTTTCTGATGGGCCATTCTGCTAGGCCATTTGGTGGGAGTGCGTCTAGGTTATTGTTCGACGGAATTCTATCACATCGGACGTTCGGGCGCTAGCAATTCCTGAGAAACAATTATAAAGTAGGACTTAGAGATGTCACGCCATATATTAAGGTTTGGAGGGAGAGTTCTTCCCCGTTTCACCCAACAAATTAATTCAGCATATAAGAGTTACAAGGATTGCGACCTACTACAACAACTCTAAAAGATATGACGATGAATGTCTTCTTCTGTAGCTCTTGGGCAGCATGACTACGAATGTCTTCTTCTGGAGCTCTTGGGTAGCTTACTCGTAGCAGCCGCTTGCTAATCTTCTCCTTCACGACGTCTTCATTCTTCAATTTCCAATTCCTTGGCCAAATCGTCCCAGTTGTCGTCTTCGTCTTCGTCTTGAAGCGCAGCAACCACCGTTTGCTCCTCTGCTTCAGCTGTCGACATGGCGTCCTCCAGGTCCTTGACCAAGTCGTCATCATCTTCTTGAAGCGCAGGCGCAGCAGCAGGGAACTGCTTGTACGGCGACGGTTCAGGTGCTGCAGCCACCGTTTGCTCCTGATCTGCTTGTTCTCTCAGTATGGCGGCTTCAAATGGATCAAGTATCCTCCTCTGCTTCGACTGGACGGACACCTGTGGCTGGCAGGGAGGTGCCAGTGCTTGCCGAGGCATGTGGCAGAAGGCGTGTACCACCGGAGGAGTCGGCAACACCTGCTGCATGGGCCGCGCAAGTGGCCGCGGTGGCACTGGCATTGGCGAGCAACGCGGCTCCAACACAGGACGGGTCGGGACTGGCGGCGCCGGAGCCTGAATTGGCGCCGGAGATGGCTGTGTCTGTGTCATCGAGGGAGCCGGCGAACCACGGAGAGGCGCACACGGCTGTGCTGGTGCGAAGTACAACTTCCGAACAGCGGTCAGCGGCGGTCTGGTCGGAGCTGGCGGCGCCGGAGGCTGCACAACAGGACCCGCTGGCATTGGCGAGCGACGCGGCTCCACCACAGGACGGGTCAAGACTAGCGGCGCCGGCGCCTGAATTGGAGCCGGAGACGGTTGTGTCTGTGTCACCGAGGGAGCCGGCGAACTACGGAGAGGCGCATGTTAGTTGATCTCCACCAATAGGCCCAACGGCCTATTGGGCCCTTGACTCTGCTCCCTGATCGGGGGAGCCCAACCGTAACTGGTTGGTGGGCCCCTGTCGCACAGCACATACAAATAGAGAAGGTGGGGATTGAGCTCGAAACGAGGTTCACTGGAGCCGCCACACCCACCTACAGAAACCCTAATACTGATCTAAAGAGCTGCTGCCAGCGACGGGATGTGCCCCAACCACCGCCATCTCCCACTGCAGGACACCGCCGACGTCACTAGACTTCATCTCGCCGGCGCTGGACGTCTTCTACACCGCGACACTGGCTGCGGTGCATCTACTGAAGGGCTAGGAGCCTACTCGGATCTACGGGTTACACAGAAAGGTACTCACATCGATCCTAACAATGGTACCAGAGCAGGTTACCTCTGTGTATTCCTGTGTATCCCTAACCCTAACCGGGTAAAAGCAAAAGAAAGAGAGACCGGCTCACGGTCTACCGGTCATCACCGCCACCGCGCGTGGGGGAAAGGAGCCACACCGTTCGACGGCGCACGGCAAAAGTAAAGAAAAGAACAGATCCTTTCGGATCAGAGAAGAAATAGGGCCCTAGGCTCACAGAGCCGAAACCCTAACCCTAGAACGGGGATAATCTGTTCGGGTAAACAAGGGAAAAGAAAGAGAAATAAAAGAAAACAGAACCTAACCCTAGATCCATTCGGATGTCAAAGAAAAGAAAGGAAAAACAGAAAAGAAAGGGGAAAAGAATAGGGTCGGCATACGAACCCTAAACCTAACCCTAGACGGATCCTCATCCCTAACCGGTTGAATCCGAGAAGAAACAAAAGAAATCAAAGAAAAGAAAAGAAAGGAATCAAAGAAACCCTAACCCTAATCCCCTCCTTCGGTTCGGTTCGGATAAGAGGAAAGCGAGATCCAAATCGAAAAGAAGGGGGTGGGACAGGAGAAAGGGAAGGGGACGGATCCACCCTTGCCGGCATGGGAAAAGAAGAGCCGGGACAGCCTTTCGCCGGCGCGGGAGAAGAAGAGCCGAGCCGGGGACGCCGTGGCTAGGCCGCTCGACGGCGGCGTGCTCACCCGTTGGGGAGCACGCGCGCCGGCGAGGGGGCCGGCGACGGCGCCAAGGCTCGCTCCACCGCCCGCTCGCTCGTCGTCGGTCGCTCGCGGCTGCACTGAGGTAGAGAGAAGAGAGAGCGGCGAGCGAAGAGAGAGAAGGGCAAGTGCCGAATGAGACTAGGGTTTCGGGGCCCGCGGCCGGAGTCATTTTTTATTCGGCCGAAACAATCGGACGGCCGTCGGATCAGATCCAACGGCGCCGGATGCACGGGCCCACGAGTGGCCTAGGCGGGGGGAGTGCGCCGCGGCAGTTTGCCGGCCCAGGCCCAGGTTGCGGCCTGGGTGCGGCCTGCGCGAGAGAGGCGGGCCGAGCTGGTTTTACCGGTTGGGCCGAAAAAAGGGACAGAATCAAGATCAGTTTTTTCTTTTCCAGTAATTGCTAATTTCGGAAAATGAAAAATATATCAAAGAAAATATGAAAAGTGATTTTACCTGTGGGTAAAATTCAAGAAATTGAGCATATGTTTTCCGCTGAGAAAGAAAAGTACATCCTCCAATGATTTTGAACCGACATGATATTTAACTGGAGAAAAGAAAAGATTTTCCAGAAAATGTTTATTCCCTGGAAATTGATTAATGGATTAAAGAAAATAGAAAAAGAAATTTTCCCTGTGGGTAAAATTAAAGGAAAAGAGAGTTTTCCCACAGGTAAAGAAAAAGTATATTCTCCAGTTATATTGAACCAACATGCTATTTACTTGCAGAAAAAGGAAAGTTTTTCCGCTGCTAAAGAAACTGTTGATTCTCCAGTTATTTTGAACCAATGTGGTATTTAATTGGAGAAAAAGAGTTTTGATATAATTACGATGTTGTTATTTTCTGACCAACGTTGTTAATAACAATATCATAATTTTAATGATTTATGCATTAATTCTGCTTCTGCCCAACGGTGATGTAGAATTAGTGTATAAGAAAAGTTGATAATTTTAATGATTTATGCATTGATTCTACTTCTGCCCAACGGTGATATAGAATTAGTGTGTAAGAACAGTTGTCAAAGTTAAAGATTTATGCATTAATTCTATTTCTGCCCAACGGTGATGTAGAATTAGTGTATAAGAATAATTGTATGTTTTGATTTTGACCAACGTTGGAATCAAGGCATGCAAATGATGTGTTAATTCTATGTTAAGAAAAGATTTGACATGGTTTTCATCTTGTTTAAGGTGGATTGGGTAGTCACCTCACCGTGTTCCACTGAGTTTGTGGCACCGGTGAGGGAGACAAAAGAGAATGATGCCAGTTGGGCAACTAAAGAAAGGGATTTTGAATCCCAAAAGATATCCTATGGCTTTTGAGCATAGGAAGTGGGTCACTGCAAACAAGAAATGTTTGGCTGTGATAAAGAACATGATTGAACCTACAATTGTGGGCTCAATCCCAGAATATGACACGGTCACCAAGTACCTCGATAGAATAAAGAGCAGTTCACTGGCTCTTCAAAGATATGCCACTTAGCTGATAAAGCTGGTCACAGAGTGTTACTCTGGAAATGGTGGCATAAGAGAGCTCACGATGCGTTGTCGAAATTATGGCACTGTCGTTTAGGCCATATTTCGAGGGAGAGAATAGAAAGACAAGTTAAGAATGATATTCTTCCTCCATTAGAGCTCTCAGATTTAGAACAATGCAGAGAATGCATAAAAAGAAAGTATGTAAAGAAGATTAAGAAAGATGCCAAACGAAGCGCAGGAATTTTATTGGTTATTCACACAGACATCTGTGGTCAGTTTTCCTATAAAGAGTGTGGATGGTTATGATCCATTCACAGATGATTACTCCCATTATGACTATATTTATCCAATCAAAGAAAGAAAAGATGTATTGGATAAATTTAAGATATTAAGAATTAAGATAGTCGTCCGACCGGTGGGGGAGTACTACGGTCGGCATACCCTAAAAGAATGGCATAGCAACTCAATATTCTACACCGAGCGAACCTCAGTGAGAATAGAGTATCTAAAAGAATCAATCGTACCACGATAGATATGGTGGGCGATGATAAGTTACTCCACCTTACAGCTTGAACTCAGTGAATGAAGGCGCGTTAAACCGCCATTTATATTCTCAATAGAGTATCAAGAAAGTTGGTGCCCAAAACACCGTATGAGTTGTGGACAGAAAGAGTACTCTCACTAAACCACTTGCGTGTGTGTGGGGGAGCCCTGCTGAGGCTAAAGTATTTAACCCAAATATTGGAAAGTTATATCCCAAAACAGTAAGTTGCCATTTTATTGGCTACACAGAAAAGTCAAAAAGTTTTCGTTTTCCACTGTCCAGAGAGACATACAAAGTTTATGGAAACGAGACACGCTGTTTTCCTAGAAGATGAAAAGATGAGGGGAGCATGGTAGCTTGAGAAATTGTCCTTGAAGTGAAGCGGGTGTATGCGCCCACTCTAATGATTCATGAGCCATTTTTCTCACTACCTGTTGTAGCTGCACCGACAGTGCTAGATACTGTGGTGCTAGCACCTGTTGTTATCCCACCTGTGGCAACAATGAATGACGATGATGAACCTATTCTTCAGGATTCTATAGAACCTATTGCCACACATGAGGGGGAGCAACAACAGCCTCAAAATAGAAGATGTGCCAAATATGGAGGCCCCTAAAAGGTCTCAAAGAGTTAGAAAATCAGCTATTTCTGCTGATCATGAAGTGTATAACACTAAAGAATTTCAAATGGAGGATTATCAAAGCCTCGTTTGAAGAAGCCATGAGTAGTGATCAGTCATCAAAGTGGCTTAAGGCCATGGAAGATGAAATAAAATCATTGAATGCCAATAAAGTTTGGAACTTGAAAATAATTCCTAAAGGAGCAAAAACAGTAGGCTGTAAATGGGTCTACAAGACAAAACTTGACTCTCAAGGGAATATAGAGAGATATAAAGCCCGACTTGTGGCAAAAGGCTTTGTGCAAAGAGAAGGGATTGATTACAATGAGACCTTTTTCTCCAGTCTCATGTAAGAATTCTTTCAGAATAATAATAGAATTAGTGGCACATTACGATTGAGAATTACATCAGATGGATGTAAACACGGCATTCCTCAATGGAGACTTGGAGGAAAATGTTTACATGGCACAACCGGAAGGTTTTGTCATGGAAAGAAAAGAACGAATGGGATGCCGCCTAAAGAAATCCATTTATGGATTAGAACAAGCTTCAAGACAGTGGTACTTGAAGTTTGACCAGACAATAAAGAATTTTGGGTTTTAAAGAGAATGTAGAGGACAATTGTGTCTATGCAAAGTTTAAGATTGGGAAGTTTATCTTCCTTATCCTGTATGTAAATGATATCTTACTTGCTAGTAGTGATGTCAGTCTACTACAGGAGACAAAGAAGTTTTGTTCTCAAAACTTGATATGAAAGATCTTGTCGAAGCCTCGTTCATTCTAGGGATCGAGATTCATCGAGATAGAAGAAAAGGGTATAATGACTGTCACAAAAGGCATACATGGAAAAGATCTTAAATAAATTCAGTATGCACAAATATAGTCCCTCACCTGCTCCTGTAGTCAAGGGCGACGGATATGGGGATTTTCAATGCCCCAGGAACCAATATGAGCTCAATTGATAAAGTGAAAGTGGTTACATATGCTTCAGCTGTCGGAAGCTTGCAACATGCTCAAGTATGTACACGTCCTGACTTGGCATTTGTTACCGGGTTTTACTTGGCAGATTCCAGAGCAATTCTAGAATAGAACACTGAAATTAGTAAAGAAAGTCTTGCATTATTTGCAAGGAACGAAAGGCCTCATGATGACATATAGAAGATCTGATTCACTCCACATGGTGGGATATTCAGATTCTGATTATGCGAGAGTGAATGCATATCCAGACGTGGATTTTCTATCATCTCGCAAAGGGGAGCTATTTCATGGAAAAGCTCAATGCGAACCGTCAGTACATCATCCACAATGTATGACAGTTTGTAGCGTGTTATGAGGCAACAGGCAGGTGAACTGACTAAAGAAGTTCATACCCGGTTTAAAGGTGGTTGACGACATCTATAGACCACTTAAGAGATACTGCGATAATAATCAAGCAGTATAGTATACTCACAACATAAGTCAAGTGGTGCTGCCAAACACATTGACATAGAGTATTATGTTGTGAAAGATAAAGTCCGGGATCAAGTCATAAATCTTGAGCATATAAGAACAGAAAGGATGCTCGTGGATCCGCTTACAAAAGGCTTACCACCCAACATGTTCAGAGGACATGGTGTTCAGAGAACATGTAGCTAGCTTGGGTTTAAGGGAAAGCCTAAAATATTTCTGGACAAAAGAAGGCCCAAAGATAAGTATCTATTTCAGAACAGAGTAGTGAGTTGTAGCTGTTAAGTTTATCGGCAATGGACCGTGACGATGAGACATGCTCTATGAGCTAATCTGTAATGGAATGAACAAAAGTAAATGATATGAAAGTGAAAGATGGAATGAGATCAAGGGGGAGAATGTTAGTTGATCTCCACCAATAGGCCCAACGGCCTATTGGGCCCTTGGCTCTGCTCCCTGGTCGGGGGAGCCCAACCCTAACTGGTTGGTGGGCCCCTGTCGCACAGCACATACAAATAGAGAAGGTGGGGATCGAGCTCGAAACGAGGTTCACTGGAGCCGCCACACCCACCTACAGAAACCCTAATACCGATCTAAAGAGCTGCTGCCAGCGACGGGATGTGCCCCAACCACCGCCGTCTCCCACTGCAGGACACCGCCGACGTCACTAGACTTCATCTCGCCGGCGCTGGACGTCTTCTACACCGCGACACTGGCTGCGGTGCATCTACTGAAGGGCTAGGAGCCTACTCGGATCTACGGGTTACACAGAAAGGTACTCACATCGATCCTAACAGCGCACACGGCTGTGGTGGCGCGAAGCGGTGACGGGCGATCTGGTCGGAGCTGGTGGCGCTGGAGGCTGCACAACAGGACCCCGCATTCTCTTGGAGCACGGTAGCATGGCAGCCTGGGGTGGCGGCGCTGTCATCTTGGCGCAAGGCGGCATGGCAGCCTGCGGTGGCGGTGCTGTCCTCTTAGGTCACGGTGGCATGGCAGCCTGCGGCAGCGGAGGCGCTGTCATCTTGGCCGCGGACTGCGCGATGATGGCGGCGGGCGTGGCAGGCGGCAGCGGCGGCAAAGCGAAGAAAGCAGCGGACTCGTGGCGCGCGTCGGAGCTCGAAGCAGCCCTGGGAGACACGTACACCTTGCAGAACATGAACTGTTGCTGCTGGTCGTTGTCGCCGCACGACGACGAGTACATGTCCATGAGCCAGTCCGTGAGGACGCCACACTTCTTGTAGCGCAACTTCTTGAGTTCGCCGACCTGGACTCCCTCGTCGTCCTTGATTTCCGCCGTGTTGTGCGCGGCCCAGGAGCTGGGGCAGCTGGCGGCGCGCACGGCCTTGTTCTTGTAGGGCGCGAAGAAGAAGCGGTCGTCGGTCCTTGGCATGGGCTGGAACCGGCGGGCGAGCTCGGCGGGATCGCACGCGTAGACGTCGGCGTGGTGGATGACGGGGCGGACGACATCGCGCAGCGTCTCGCCGGAGATGAGGCGGGGTAGGTAGTGCGTGACCGCCTCCTGTGGAGTCGGGCAGAAGCGGAACCCGCGGCTGTAGATCTCCTGGCCTAGGGCCGGCGGCGTCATCGAGGGTACGAGAAGGGGACTGCGGGATATGGCCTATGCGGGCGGCGGTGGATATTTATGGGGGGAGAGCTGAGCTGAGTTCGACGAGATCACGAGATGAGTCGATGTTGGGCTGTTGGCTGTGTGTTCTGTGTTCGAATTTGGACTTTCGCCGTGTCGGATTCGCGCCATACTTTTGGTTTCCGTGAGGTGGCGAGTGGCGAGGGCACCACGCCACCGCCTTTCGGATTTTACAGGAGGCAACCGTTTTCGATTCTTCAAAGTAATAACGTGTTTTTCCACTTCATAGAGAAAACATGGAGTACAAAATAATTGTGAAAAACAAAGTAAAAAAGGACAACAATATTTCTCTCTCTACCACTAATAATACACTACTAGTAGTGAACTTCCCTACGGCTACCCAAGAAACTATCTACCGCAGTCATGAACTCTCCAACGTGCATTTAAAAAATTACACACACAACCAGCCAACCTTTGAAACGAACGTACGAGATTCACTCCGGCCTCTTCTTTGAGACAATTCTCTATGTGCCATTAAAAAAGACCGCAATGCCCTGTATGCCTCTGCAAAAGTTCAGCGGTCTTCAGCACCACTACTCCAACTTTTTCGTGTCCTCCATGCCACTTCCGTCAGTTTGGGCTCTACTTGTAAATCAAGCAAGCTGCAGGTGTGAAAAAATTCGAAAATAACCTTAAGTCTAAATATGTTATTAATTTTTTATATTAATCATCTTAAATCATACTTTTTATGGAATTAAAAAAAATAATCAAAACTAGAAAATGTAGATCTCGTTTAGATCTATAATTTTCATATAAAAGTTATTTTTATTTAATTCGTTAAGATGCTCAAAAAATAATAACATTTTAGACTTATATATTAATCATATCAAATCATATTTTTGACTAAGATTAGAGTCAAACTGACGGAAGTGGCATGGAGGACACGAAAAAGTTGGAGTAGTGGCGCTGAAGACCGCTGAACTTTTTCAGAGACACACAGGGCATTGCGATCTTTTTTAATGGCACACAGGGAATTCCCCCATCTTCTTTCTCTTACTCATTCAAATCCAACGACCCAGGTTATTTGCACCAAACCTCATCACTCATCCCATCCCTCTCTCACCCTACGCGTGACTCCCCCCTCTCCCCCGACGGCCACGGTTCGACTCGCGGCTCGTGACTAGGCCGCCGACGGCTCCTCCCTCTCCGCCAACAGCATCCCTCTCCTGCCATCACCTCCCTCTTCGACTTCGATAGGTTGAGATGTTGCACATGTTACAATGACTATACATGTATGTTTCAAGTGTATGTTCCAAATGTTTTATCTGTATCAGACGTATGTTGCAAGTATTTTCATCTTGATGTTGCAAAAATAGATCTGGATGTTGCATATACATGCATGTTGCAAGCGTATTTTTTCAAGTGTTTCAGGTGTTTCATCTGGATGTTGCATATGTTTGCAATGGTTCTCAAGTGTTTTTCAGGTGTTTTGGCAAGTGTTTCAGACGCATGTTTTAAGTGTTTCATCTGTCTTCTTTTATATATTGCAACTGTTGCATCTGAATGTTTTAAAAGTAGATCGGATGTAGCACATGGGATGCGCGTGGGAAGCTACCGACGGCGCGGGCAACGTTTGGGGTGACGCGGGTCCACTGCTGGGGCGCTCGCTCGCAAGATCGATGCGGTGCTCGCTCGCTTGCTGAGCGGGTACCATCCGATGCTAGCGCCCCAGATCGGACGTCCGGGCGCTAGCAAGCAATGAAAATGCTTATGCCCGAATATCTAATCTTCCGGACGCCACCGTTCGTGGGCCACGACACCAACCTAACGGCCCAACATCGTATCATCTTGTCCACTTGATCTCTCTAGAAGCCTCTCGTCCACTCGTCCTCTCTAGAAGGATGTCCACCACAGTGCCGCGGCCGTGCTCCACCACGCCACCTCGACGTTCTTCACGGCGGCCGGCGGCGCCGGCCGGCATCTCCACCGTGCCCCACGCGCGCTGCCCGTCTTCCTCCCTCTCCATGGCGCCTCGTGTCCGCGTGGCCATCCGCCTCTATCTCTCCACCGTGTCTCCGTCCACCATGGTCCTCTCGAGCATGCGGTCTGCCTTCTCCATTGGCCTGTCACGGCCTTCTCCACCGGAGTGGCAAGTTCTGCGCCACCGACGAGCTCTACACCGGTGAACAACACATATCGACGAGCCTCAATTCCCAAGCATCAAAGAGATGTGGCGCTGAAAGCACGTGTTACAAACATATGTTTCAGAGGTATGTTGCAGGTGTTTTGTATCGATGTTACAAAAGTAGATCGGGATATTGTAAACGTAGATTGGGATGTTGCACATGTTGCAATGGCTATACATGTATGTTTTATGTGTGTGTTCTAAATATTTCATCTGTATCACACGTATGTTGCAAGTATTTTCATCTGGATGTTGCATATACATGCATGTTGCAAGCGTATTTTTTTCAAATGTTTCAGGTGTTTCAAATATTTGTTGCAAATATTTCATCTAGATGTTGCATATGTTTGCAATGGTTGTCAAGTGTTTTTAGGTATTTTTGGAAGTGTTTCAGACACATGTTTCAAGTGTGTCATCTATCTTCTTTGGTATGTTGCAGCTATTGTATCTGGATATTTCAAAAGTAGATCGGGGTTGCACATGTGACACGCGTGGGAAGTGGCCGGCGGCATGGACGACGTCCGAGACAACGCGGGCCCACTGCTGGGGCGCTCGCTCACTGAGTGGGTACCGTCCTATGCTAGCGCCCCGGATTGGACGTGCGGACGCTAGCAAGTTGGTATTAACAACAGAAATCACCGTGGCCGCCACACACTCCATGTTCCGCAACGATCGCGTGTGTCAGCTACTTCTACGACTCCATTACTCCACCTCGTCATGAACGCAGCGTGCGTCAGGTTTATGTGCGACGCTCTCGGACGTGTTTAAGTCGAGCCCAACAAAACAATGCGAAAAAAAGAGAAACTAATTAACCAATTAATAAACGGAGAACATGAACAGGAGACGTGTTCATGTGCGAACACTTGTAATCCTATAGGATATGGGAAAATGCATATTTAGGTAATTGTATTCACTGTCTTTTTTCTTTTTTTTTGTTTGAGATGGGATTAGATCCTATGTTTATTTAAAATGAAAGATAGAGAAAGGATATCTAAATTCATATGTAAATTTCTATGTTTTATTCACATTCGACAGAATGAAGATTTCTTTTGTATTTAGATATATTTATTTGTTTGAATCAAGTCTCCCTTCTGTTGATTGACAGAGGAAACCAAGCAATTTGGGAGATTCAGCTTGTCGGGTTCATAAACCCGGAGTCTTTAATGGGCCCGCTTCCCAGCAAAAGCTCGGCCCGGCAGACGGCATTACGAACGACGCGCAATTCTTGGGCCGGCCCAGATACCTAACGACAGGCCGGAAGAGCGATCCAATCTCCGACCGGAAGGCCTGGCCAAGGATAGGACGACGCTCGCTTCCGACTCCGATCCGCTTCTCCGACCGGAAGGCCTGGCCAAGGAGGGGACGACGCTCGCTTCCGACTCCGACCGGAAGGCCTGGCCAAGGAGGGGATGACGCCTGCTTCCGACTTCGATCCGCTTCTCCGACCGGGAATGCACCGAACCTCTGCTTACGGCTCTTCTCCGACCGGCACGGTTGGAGCCAACTAGGAACGACCGGTCCGGGACGCTCGCTCGGTGAGGACCCAAGAAATCTGGCAGAGCAGATAAAGTAAGGTGCTCAAGTCAACCGCACTACCGAGAACCGTACCCTGCACACCTGCAGGACAGTACTGTCAGGCCATGTCAGAAGGGTACTTTGTAGCCTTCTAGACATGTCAGAACATAAACATTATTGTAAGCGCTGACATTTGTCCTACAGTATGGTAGGCGCCGACATTTGCCATACCAGAAGAACACAATGGAGCCTGCAACATACATCTGGGCGTCAACAGTATTGTGGACGTCGATAAACTGTCTTGTACCCGACGGCGTGGGCAACAAGACTAGGACATACACACACACACTCTCTCTCTCTAACTTGTAAGGCCGTCCCCTTCATCTATTAAAGGGGATGCACTCTCTCTCAAAGGGACGGTCATTTCAACTCTCTCTTTGCTAGCTTTAGATATTCTGAGCACTCGAACAGCTTCACGGCTTTAGAACTCTAAAGCTACACGGAGCACACGTTCCAATACTTAGCGCACGTAGGAGCTCCCGTCACTCTTGGCCCTTTGGTCCAGAGTCCGACCGGACCTCTAACACCCCCATCTTATTCCCATTCGTTTGTAAGGCCACTGCAAACTTCGAGCACCTGGGCTCAAGAATAAAGTCACCGGCCGACTCAAACGAGAAGTAGGGCACGTTGTCTGAACCAGTATAAATCCTGTGTCATTGAGTGCTAGGCCACATCCGATCATAACATACGACAAAACGACAAATATTTACTTGTTGGTCACTTTTTGCACCGACAGTTGACGCCGTCCGTGGGGAAGACGTCGTACATTCACGCTTTTAATAATTGGATGGCCCACCTTTCTGCCATCTTCATCATAATGGGCTCAAGCGATACGACTCGCTTCGGCTCGTTGGAGTTTCCCATTCTCCCACCTGTTAGGATGTGGGTTCCTCCCGTTTTCAAGCCATCCCAGACCTTCCTCTTCGAAAGCCTGGACTTCGTTGCCGACCAGCTCAGCGTGCTTCGCCTTCGCGAGGAGGCACTTGTCCCGGCGCCCGTCAGAGGAGGAGTGCCCTCCGTTGGCTCTGGGCCACCCAGCGACCTCAACGACGAGATACCTGTGCTTTGCTCCGAGCCCACGCTGGGCTCAAACCACACTGTGAGTAACGTACATATTGTTCTTTACTCGCTATTTAATATCTTCTACCGACTCTCTGGAGGGACCCCGTTGTCCCCACCGTGACCGTCATACAACCGGTTCCCCTATGGCCTTGCGTCCCCCGTGGACACGTACGCGCGG